AAAGAGCTTGACGATCCGGTCACAGCTGGCTGGAAAAGTCGCTCGTCCGGGCAGGAAACTCGTGTACGACGATTCTCACGCGCATACTTGGCGCCGTCGGCCAGCAAATTCACAGCACACACAGCCTTACACTCGTCTCCATTGACTCCAAGATCAAAGACAGTTACTTGCGCGTCGTCGTGCAAGATGTAGAGAATGTGGCGCACGTGGTCTACACACATGTCCACAATTTTGTCCGGTGCACTGGCCAGACCAGCCAAGAACCGCGGTAAATATTGTGCATAGCTAAATGTATGCGCCACTTTCCGACACCCTTCCGACATTCCAACTCCCGGTACATTGTTTAATGCTGCTCCTAGCAATGAATTGCGGTCGGCCGCAGCTTTTTGCTCAGGTGCGTACAAAAACTCGTAGAGTGTGCCGTCAGAGCCACCGAAGAAAATGCGGCCGCTTCGTGTAGTCACGATTTTACGGACAACGCACTTGTCAGTACTGACACTGAGCTTCGTCCTTTGTAGCTTGAACCCTACGGGCTCCGACTGTGCCTCGTCAGTCACGACAGCCAAGAGAATAACCTCTACAGTAGTGGCTACTACTAACACGTGATGAACTTTAGATGTGAAGACACCAGTTGCTGGTCGGGTAACGAGTCCCACTGCTACAATGGCCTGGTCGAATTCCTTGGCTGCGAATCGACCTCGCTGAGCATAGCTCCATAGAAAAAGTCGAGCGTCCACAGACGTCCAGGCCGAGCGAATTTCGGTCAGTAGACCAGATAATGACATTGTTTTAGCATCATCCAATGCAGCAGCTACCACGCCGGGAAGCGAGATTACTGAGCCTTTTTTGGCCACCTGAGGCGTCCACTGGGATGCATACGGCTCTAAAAAATAGTTTTGCGGCTCAGACTGCGAATTGAGCTGGTCAGCAAGATCTGGAAATGACGCGTCCTCTTGTGTGGCCTGGTCCACACGCGTTTTAGCGTCCGACAAGCCCCTGTAAGTGCGCTCTGCCGGCTCCATTTTACAACTCTGCACTTTGTGGTGGGGGGGTAAATCCGACTTTAGTCCAATCACCTGTGCTCAATAGATTTTGAAAACACGCAGAATTGAAGATATACGCTACCAATTGCATTCTACATATACAATCAATATCTCACTATTGTTATCTTCTTCTTGGTACGTCCATGATCAATCTGAGATGAATGAGAACATGGACGGCTCGGTTTCTTGCAAAGATTGAGACTGAGAAACGGTCGAGGAAGCGACGGTTGGTGTTGTGGACGACGAATTACTGCCCCGCAGAAATCCAAATGCAGTTGGTGACGACGGCTGTGTGGTTGATGAGCTACTCTCAAACCCTGCGGCATTTGCAGTAGATATGAAGGCAAAGGAAGACTGTGTTGGCTCAGTAGTGATTAAAGTCTGGCCATTCGACTGGGCACCCAAAGCAGGTTGAGTAGAGGCTGCTGTAGAGCGCAGTGAAGCTTCCAAATCACGAAGACCCATGGGTCTGCCGTGGCTGCTCTTCGTCAAAGTGTCGTACAGCGTTGGTCTAACGAAATCTGGTTGCATGTCATCCTTCAAGCTTAGTCCAGCGAATATTGGAAGCTGATGATGTGTGCTCTCCTTCACATTAAGTCCAGCAAACACGTTTGTAACAGCGTCCATCGACGAATTTGCATTTTCGGTTATTATGCCAAAACTAGACGATGGACTTGTCGGCGCTTGACTGAAGCTTTGCGGAGCTGCTACAGCTGCCGCCATTTGAAGTTGTGCGCCGTCACGAAGAAAGCTGAAGCCATATGAGCTGTCTGCTTGGGCGGATTGCGGTAGAATAACATTTCCACCATGAATATCAGCAACCTGAGGATTGGCATTGGCGTTGAGGAATTGAAAGCTTGATTCACCACGAAGCTGAGAGATACCGAGAGGCGGATCGTTCACAGTGCTATTCGAGTCACCTCTTACAAAGGCAAATGCTGATACGGGGTGTTTCTCTTCAAATGATCCCGCGACCGTACTGTCCGGCGGATCACAGTTTTGACTTAGAGTGTTCTGAATCAGCCGAGCCAGATCGTCTGCTCTGCGGACAAGTGTTGACCGAAACCGTTTAATCTCCTCGTAATTATGCGGCCGGCGCTCCCCGATAATGACCGAGTCGATGCCTTGCGTCTGAATTTTCTCCACCGTACCGTGAAGCTGTGCAAGTTGGTTGCGGCGGTCCGCAACAGGCTGTCCACTATGCTCATGGCGAATCAATTCCTTCAATTTTATCTCAATATTAGCTAAGTTGCTATTAAATCCATTCAGCCGAGTCATCAACGCCTCGCCGTTTGAGTTTTCTGGTGTGTTAATGTCTTCGTACTCCAGCTGAGCAACATCATTGTGCTCTTTTTCTGCACTAATAGTTTTCACGTCTTCCAGTGGAGGAGGAATGTATGGTACTTCAAGTGTCGAAGGGTTTGCCGTCCTACCTTGAGTCATGAGCTTTTTGAAGCGCAGTAATTTTGGCGCATCGATTAGCGACCCAAGGATGGGACCCACCTCGGCTAGACCCTTATTTTCTACGTATATCGAGTTAATGCTGATCAATGCACAACCAGGGCAGATGGCTGGGTGTAATTCAAGATACCCTCGACCGCCACGGGGCAAAGGTACAAAGCGTTCGATTACAGTCATATCGAGTATAGTACGGTCCAGCATCACGCCCATGGGTCCAGGTGGAAGTTCGATCTCTAGTATCACTTCTCGCAACGGTTCAGTAGATTGTACAGTTTCGAGCCCTGCACTGTCGCAACTTCCATGCACTATGTTAGACGTTGGTTTGTACGCATCAAAATCTTTCAATGCTTGAGCGCGATCATTTGCGTCCATGCCTTCGAAGGCATCATGAATCGGATCGATAATCTTTTGTTCTTCTACTTCTTCTTGTTTCTTTAGCTCATTTTGCAGGGGTAAGCGCAGCATCCTTAGCTCAGGTAGTGTATCGAAAACTGTTAGACGAGGTGTTTGCGTCGGTGCAACATTCAACCCCACATTATAAGGCTGAGCCTGCTGTTGCTGGTCACTAACGAATGCAAAGGCAGACGGTTCTGCAGTCGCCGACGCCGGGGATGTCTGCTTCATAAAACTAAATCCGGACGCCTCCAATGGTAAGTGCGGCGTGCTAAGAACTGGTGTGTCTACGTCCAATTTTTGATTGATCGGCACGTCAATTTCTCCGCCATTTAGAGATAGAAAGCCAAATGCTGAGTTCCCAACGGGAGGAGTCAGAGGCTCAGCTGCCATCACGGCTGGTGGATACTCTTGTGGGCTTGCTTGTGCTGAAAAACTAAGAGCTGATTTTTCATGGGCCACAAGATTCAGTAGCGGTGCGCTATTGCTGCGTGGTGAGTCGTTTACATCCATCATCAAGTCGTGCGGTGTCTGGTGCGACGTTCCAATGGGCGATGTGTGAATCAGAGTGTGTTTTTCTGGTGACTCACTCGCCTCAGATCCTTCAACCTCTTCTTCCTGCATTCTTTGCATCAGTTCCAATGGAGTTTCCTTATTTGATGGCACGTGATCTCTTAACAAAATGTAGACTTTTTCAGCCCGTTTACGCAGCATGTCTTTTCCAGCGTTCCGCATATTTTCAAGCAAGTCCAAACGTCCACTGTAATACTGAATATAAAACTCGGCATCAGCACTGCTTAATAGTGCGCTGAGTACAGACAGCGCTTTTGCCTTCACTTGCCACAGCGGGTTCTCAAATTTATCATCGAGCAGCTCGCAGATGTACTAGAATTAAATTGAGTATATACGTGTTAATTAGGACTATTTGTAATGTATATGTGAAAAGACTATACGAACATCATGGTCCAGTGTATGCAAATACCGCAAAAGCTTTTGCAACACCTCGCGAGGTGGAAAAGATGAGGACCCGACCGACGAACAAAGCTCCGAAACAAGCGCATTTTCGAGGTCCGTTTGCTGCTGGGATATCTGCTGTTGCGGGGACGGCTTAAATCCGTTTTTCCATCGAGCTGCTTGAGAAGCGTACGCTAAATCGGGCGCGAGACGCCGCTGCCGCTGGCTGTGCATCACGGATGGCAAAATGGCTACATGTAGGGGGAAGTTAGAAAACAGACTTGCTGCCAATCAACGTGCTCGAAAGCGTAGTTATAAGTTAAAAGTTACTCTAATTTGCTCAATTGTCAATCTGCAATCTCTTTTTGCAGGTACCTTTATGTAATCGCCATTACTTGCAGGTGGCAAGGCGCAATCAGGTAAATAGAATTAGGAAGACTACACTATTTTTGGCATAATATATTATTAATCATAGCTTATATTCGACTTTGGCACAGAACAAATTTTGTACAAATCTCTGGGCTCACTGGTAGAATCTATGGCTGAGTCGCTGCATTGGAAAGAAAAAAAGGCTTGATGTTTTTGATCCTCAAAAATTCTTTGTGTTAATTCAATGACTCAGTGATTGACATGTAAATCTTGCGTGCGATGAGGAGAATTTTGTTTATATCCATTATCCTAGTCCGTTCGGAGGCCGATGAAGATTTGAAAGTTCCAGACTGTCGGACTTTACTTTTTGAGTGATCGTTTGGTGCATCCGGTAAGAGTAAATATTCGAATATTCAGCCACCAACTGACTCGTCATCGAGTGACGAGAATGCCATTAATCCGGCACCATCGATCCAGAACAAATGCATCTTCCAAACATTCTGTAAGCTTTTACAAACATTCGATTCATGATACCTCTTGGCAGCACACCCCTTAAACTCCTAGTATCTCCACTTCCTGCAACGAACAGCAGCGCATCACTCGTCATAATCTGAAGACAAGCTCTGTAAATGTATAAAAGTTGGTGGGCCTGCGAATTTGCTGAACAAAATTGACACACGTAGAAGATCGGTATATAAAGCGACATATTTGCTGTCAGTTGTCGCTGCTCTTTTAACTAAACTAAGGCAGATTAAAAAAAATCGATCAACGAAATAGACGCGTCCACAGAAAAATGCTCGATAGTATTGATAATTTAAGGAATAACGATGCGTCGATCAGAAACGACTTGGTGAGTCTTAAGGTTTGAACAATTGGAGCTGAATACTCTGACCGCAGTATTTACTGTGCTACTGATCAAATTGCGGGGTGTCTGCTTTGCCATACAGCATTTGTATATGTATGTTTAATGATGATGACAGCCATACGTGGTACTCTGCTTCTTTTAACATGTCTACTTTCAGTGTGTCCGCATTTCAAGATTATTTGACACATTGACTCGCTCTAACAATAAGTGCCTTTTGCAACGAATTGTTAATATTAACAATCACACTTTTATCATAAATCGTGCTCTGCTTCATGCTGTTCGTTTCTCGATCGTAATACTTAAACTGTCAAGCTTCATCCTTGAATTTCTCCAAAGAAGTAAGTAACTCAGATCAAGCTTGATAAGAATATCGGCAGAAAACTGCGCTTCAATTTTTATTGTTATCAAAAAAAAACTTTTCTCAGTCACCAAGCTAACATTCGTTACGAAAAGCTTTACAGATTGCTATTGGATACGAGGAGCCGCTGGTTTGAAAATTTTGCGAAATTTTTAGAAACGACATGGTGCCAATAGAAAAGAGCACCCGCAAAAATTTGGCAAATGGTGTTATCGTTTCAATAATTTTACATTTTGAGCGAGTCGTCAATATCTTGTTATCAACTCTCACGCATTGATGACGAGCTAATGTCTCGACACGGCGGAGATTATTGCCTTTTACCGCATTCCAAGCCATCACTTAAGATCTTTAAAGAGGGTTGTAACCGCTGATGAATTCCTTTCATCATTTTCTCCTTTCATTCAAACGCTTGCTTCTATACAGTTGTACAGTCGTCTGTCATCTGACAGAAATCCAAATGGCAGCATGGCATGCTCAACGTGCTCAGTATAATCTTTTAACGACAAAGGCACTTTTACATTTACAAACATTTCAATACCAAAAGCGCTGCAGGCATCAATTAACTCTCTTAAAGCCCTAAATGCCGAGCAATGTGCATGTTAGTGTGTTCACCTAGCGTCTCTTTGGACACGTCTACGCGTCGAGACGTCAACATTGCTGGCATCTCGGCGCTCGTCCGCGCCATTTCCTGAATTAGAAATGTCACCAAATCGTCGCCAGTTTCGACAAGTCCCGGCTCTTCTGGATCTACTTCTTCCTTGTCGACACTTTGATCATATCAATGATCCACGAACTGACCGTTTCCGAGCGCTAGTTTTACTCAAACTGACCGCAGAATGCACTGAATATTAACCGAACTTTGCTCTTTCGAGTTGCCGCTGATCGGACAATGACGGAGCATGTCGTTTTAGATGACCTACGAAATGTTTAGGAAAAGAAGGATGGAGACTCAATTTGATGGTGTTCTAAGCTCTATAAAACGATTTGATTGGAATAGCTCGTTGCTCAGCATTTTCGACCTCGCGCAAACAGTAGTGGCATGAGCGATTCTACCGTCGACCAGAACATACTTCGACTTCTTGATGTGATATTAGCAATTAACTTGTCTTTTGTACCAATGGCAGACATCTCGACGTATTTGCTACTAGTATTGCGTGGCCTGGAATTTCTAGCAGAGAAAGAGATCCGGTCCAAGCTACAGGTGGAAAGTCTCGAGCTATGTAGCGTCCAGGAAAACCTTCAACCGCCTTATATGCAAATTATGCAGGGTCAGGCGGCTGTGGGTAAATTTGTCCTACAGACCAAGTCACTGGCTGCGGAAGTGCAAAATCTCCGGTCTGTACAAGCGACACTGGCATTTTTGGCCAAGAGTGACGAGATTGTTGAAGGAAGCGACGCAGGTGTAGCCCAAATTGGGGTAAGTATCGAGTTGGAATAGCACCATGAACTGTGGACTAACAAATATTGTGTGCTGCAGCAATTAGTATTTGATGCCGATTGGGACTCAGCCGTAAAGCTATGGAAGCAGCATGTATTGTATCCGATAAAGGACAGCGAGATTAAATTTCGAGGATCGTGTGTCCGTGATGGCAAGCACAGGTACAATTCACAAGAGATTGCGGGCGAAGTTGGTGCAAGAGTGATTGAAAAGTTTGGGTGGCAAGTGAACCTCACTGAGTTTGATATGGAAGTGGTCGTGATTATCTTTTACAAATTCATGGTTGCCGGTATTGTCTTGGCGAATTCACGGGAGATTCAGTTCCGCAATCGTATGGCGAATGAGACTCGCAGTGCACTTGCTGACACGCAGTATGTCTCGACGCTACGTCCCAGTACTGCGTACCTTATGCTGCAGCTCGTGGCGCACAAATTTGGTGACGTGGTGCTTGATTCAATGTGTGGCATTGGCTCACTTCCGATCTGTGCTGCTGATTTCACGAACGATAAAATATTTGCTCTGGGTGGTGAAATAGATGAGTTGCCATCAAGAAAAGCAGGTCTGAACGCACTCACCCGTCCACGCTTCGTGGATATTGCACGCTGGGATAGCACGCGATTACCTTTGCGAAGCGACAGCATCGATCGAATTATGATCGATATGCCCTTCGGCCTTCGCTGTGGCACACAACGTCAGAATAATAAGGTACACTGCTAGCACAAGCAATTCGCTTATATATTTTTAAAATCTCGTTGTGTTCTGTGTTGGTATCTAGATTTATCCAAAGATTTTTCGCGAGCTCTTCCGTATCCTACGTTCTGATGGTCGAGCCGTACTTCTGGTGATGTCCAAGAAGTTGTTTAAAGGTGCTGTTAAGGACCTTCCTTTCCGCATTGTGGCCGAGCACAGTGTATGCATTGGTGGTCTAGGAGGCGGCATTTATGTTATCGAGCCTATCAAAATCTCCACTTTTGTTTGTTGAGGCATAGTGCACGTTGATAGCTAACTATCCGCTTTGTAAACAAATACACAGACCAAATCCTCGAGTATTTGTAGCATGCATTTTGACTACAGGTGACATTATTTTGTAAAGGGGGTCGCAAGACAGCGAAGCTGCGTTACCTGCTCGTCAATACGCAAGGGTAAGTCAATCGACCAAAAGGTGCTTCATGTTGATCAAAATACGTGGAAACGACAATAAACACCGCACTGAGGACCAGCTATTTCGAAGATTTGAGATGCGTGCGCTGTCATTGCCGTTAATTTTGGTGGTAAAGACACGCGGGAGGTCTCAGTGCGAATTGCATCTGTTCGGAGATTGAAGATACTGGGAGGGGTTGGCGCCATCATGGGGACGAAAATTCTTTTTCTGGATGTTGTCCGCAAAGTTCTTACCTCGCTTTGCTTGGGCGAGGGATTCAAACGCTCGCGCTAAGCCTGGTTCGGCAGCTCAGACACTTGCGACGACTGTCACTTCAAATCACCCACTTTGAGAACGCCTCTGTCACCGAGGTACTGCACGATAGTGTTCAGTTTTGCGCGCGGCTTCCTTATTTGGATATCGCAAGCGTGCCGCGCTGTTGCTTTTTTCGTGAATCGGCTAAACTTTGCCATTACATAGAGGCACCTTCTACCTGCATTGTGGGAATCCACAACAAAGAAGATTTCACTATGGTACCCCCACATGCATATGGGACATCTTATATAAAGTCGCAAACATTATGCTGTTCATACTTGAGAAGTTTACGCAGGTGACGACACCGACGTATCTCTGTGTGCTGAATGGGTGGTGGTGTTAGCAATTCACGGCTGATGGAAACTTACCAGGAAAGCTCAAGTTCAAGCTTCTCGAAAATCAAGCTCATGAGCTCAAACCAAGGCACAACCTCTTCAACCTCGATTGTAGAAATCTTGTTTGTTGATTATTTAGAAGACCTCTAGAAGCCCTTGTGTTATTTTGCATGTAGCTCTCGGTATCGTCAACTCATTCTAATTTAGCTTTTGTGACCCAGCCTTTCATACTAGGGTACGTGTAACCCCGTTACACTCTCCCCCGTCAAAATTGTAAATACCCACAATTCACATCTAACTGTCGCCTCGTACGAGGCTCGCGTGTCTAAGACACCGTTAGGTCCCTAGGACCATATTTACACATTCTCTGCTCAATGAGCCCTGTGTTTATGACACGAAAAACACTCAGCCTCGCTGGATCCGAGGGCGCGCACGGGAAGAACCCTTCTTTGTCTTCTGTACGCGGTGTATCTCTGGACAGTCTCGTCGAGGATTGGATATGGAGGAAGTCGACTACGAGTCGGGTACTCCTTTCCCATGATGGGAAGAAGAGTAGGGTGAGGTGCGCCGACGGCGCGACGTGAGCCCTACTCGAACCTTGCGGACACCGTGTCCGTTTCCCGACCTCTCGACTTCAAGGGGAAATGGTATTATTACCAATCGCCTCGACAAGGCACAGGGGCAGCGGTTGGAGGCTGCCCACGGGGCAGCTGTCATGCGCTCGTAGATCCTAGATCCTCGTGTGGACTACGACTTCTGTTCGGCAGACCCCGCTACTGAAGCGAAAGATGCAATCATTCGATCGATAGGCGCCTACGTAGTCGGGCCCCGGCCACTACATAA